ATTTTATTCTTTATTGGTATCACGTGCAACCAATGAAATGCTTTGTTTCTCTAAGTGCACACCCCCTCTAAGTGCACACTATCACTCACTCCCGAGGGGGGTGCACTTAGAGGGGGTTGACTGTACTAAGTTATTTGTAACTTATTCCAGTGCTAGAACATGACCCATCGTGACCTAAGTGACCTGAGTGACTGATTATTGGTTACTTAGGTAAAATAAAAAAATGATAATTTATATATACTTTATATATTTATTTAAATGTAATTTAATATTAAGAATTTTTATTAAAGTGTGAAAAATTTTTCATCACTTTCTAAAAATGTTGGGGGCTCTAAATTAGAGTCAAATAAAGATAATAAGTGCCATTTTGATTGTGTATCATCAGCAGGATGAACATTTTTTCCACAAAAATTAAAATCTTGATTCATTTCAGTTAAAAATAATTCATCTTCAGGATGATCAAAACAGTTCTCCTTTTCAATAATTGTTGCCTACTCTCCAACAAATTCATCCCAATCTTGCACTTGCTCTTCAATCTCAGCCCCATCATTTAAAGAGTGGTTGTCATGGACTATTATGAAGAAGGTATTTATTTGAAAAAATAATTCAAATTTTTCTTTCTTAACCCAAGGAAGTTGAGAAGAAAATTTATTAAATTATTGACAAAAATAAATTTGTACATGGCAATTTAAAAAATAATGATTTCTTGGTAATGTATGTTCTTGAAAAGAGGATATTTTTGATTGTGATGAAGCAGGTCTCTATTAGGAAATGGAACCAACTCTTGAATTATCAACAGCCCCATCAGGCTTAAAGTCAAATAAAGAAAAGAAGATACATAGAATTAAATTTAGAAAAGTTGAATTAGATTTTAGTTGGGTGGAAAAGCGAAACATCCATTCATTACATGTGTTAAAAGATCAAACAGCATAAAAGGAGAGGAACTAATAATGAAGCATCATGACTTAAAGATGCTTCGAAACAATGTGTGTGGAATACCAGAGTGAATGATTACTTTTGTTAATATATAAAAATCTAAAGATAAAAAAAAATTGAACAAATGAACAAAAGTTTTTTTTTAATAAAGGTGAATTTAAAGAATGAATAATTAATTTGATTTTATTATTTATTTTTATTTGTTTCTTTCTACTTTCTAATTAAAAGTATTATTTAATTATTTTATCAGATAAAGTTTTTCTGAAATCAATTCTACACATTGTAATAAATATTATTATTATACAACACTTATTCAAGAGTTTGGACTCCCAATTTCATTAATGATTATACAGGATATATGGGGCATGCTGCAACAAAACCAGACAAAGTGAACATTGGTATTATCAAAGATTTCAGGGATCAATATGTTTGTCTAACATCACAACTGTATTACCAATATAATGTGATTATGATATTTGTCTAGACAAAAATAATTAATATGAAATTCATCTTTCATGATGGTAACAAATGTTATTTTTTATTATTTATTTAAATATATTTTTAGCAAACATTAAAGTGTACTAACACTTAATTATATTAATTTAAAATATCAATTTAAAAATAATTACTTTGATTCTTTTCTCTTTTTGTTTGTTTTATCAATTTCACTACGTAAAGATATAGGCAATGTTTTCATTTTGATGGACCATCTCACTTGTTGTGTGGGTGTAACAGGTTCATTATTATTAAGTATATTTATATATCTAAAGTAATTCTGATCCACAATACGCTGTATAGGAGTTTTTGAAATTATTAAAATTTTTTCTTGATAATAAAAGAGTTAAACAGAATAAAAAGTTAAACAAACTCACTCGAAACTTAATTAAGAAACTCAATGCCCGAGAGATTTCAGGAAAATCAAACACATTTGTTGGGAGGCTGAATTCAAATATCTTATTAAACACATACAGCTCAGGAGCAGGCATCTGCATTGAATATATTTCAATGTCTAGCTCTAAAATGTATTCAATAAGTTTATTAGATTAATATAATAAAATATTTATGGATCTACCATTATTATAATATTTACTTGATGTTATTACACCAAACACATTTATATTTTTGATATGATCTGATAGCTCTCTACTATCCAAGTCTTTTGAAATTTTTGTCAGCAGATCATGCATCATTATAGTAATCTTTGTAGTATCTTTTTTGTTTTTCTTTAATCCATCTAAAATAATTTGTTTCTGGTGTTCTATTACAATGATTTCCATATTTCCTCTTAAATAAGTCAATTTGATGTCAGGCACCAATGCCAATCTAACTCTCTCCTCATTTCCAAGATTTCTTCGTTCCTTGTTAGCCAAAAGTTGACTACCAAATAAAAAGGGTTCATATAAATAAAAGTACAGATTCTTAAAAGATCTAAAATATAAAATGGTAATTACTCATTGAGCCTTATTGAATAACACTCTTGACGAAATAAGTTATTGAAAAGTGGAGCATATATTACTGCTCCTATATGATTTTCTGAATATTGATCTTTGAAATAATTATTGTCCAAAATAAAAAACCCAGAACTAAATAGAAGAAAATATTATATTTTTAATATTATATTATATCATATAATACTGAATCTCATCCTATTCATTAATTAGATTAGACTTACAAAATGTTCACTACTGAAAAAATAAAATTATCTATTATTGATTCAGCATCCAATTTTATATTTATAAGTACTTTGTACTTATCTATGAATTCATTAGCTTTATCAATGTTGGTTATCTGGAGTATTTCTTTTAGGATATTTTTGATTCTTTGGTTTTCAATTATATCATCTGTATATTTATTAAAATTTCATTTATATAACTCTGAAATTGTGATATATCCACTAGATTTGTTTTTCCTTTCATCATCCAAGTTTATCACGCCCATTTTTATAACATCACTGTATAATAATTATAAAATTAAAATCTAATCTTTTGCATTTTAACATTAATAATTATATACACATCTGGTTATAAAAATTACCAAGAATTTGCATTCCTATAAATTTCTATTAAATCTACATAAATATTTTTCAATATTAAAAAAAAAATTAATAAAATTTCTTCATTTTTTAATAATTAATTAAAATACATACATGATTAAAATGCGATCCAAATTTTGGTTCATCGTCTAAAATACCTTCAAAATCTATAATGTATTCATGATCGTTTGCTGATGGTGATGACGTTAATTCATTTTGACTAAAAAACAAAATGTCTATTTTAATTCTGTGAACTAGAGTGACGACGAGTGGCGGGCGATAACCACCACCACCATCCTTCTCAAAACACTTACCAAACTAATGCATCCCCAGCTCGTTCAGTTTCTTTGTTTTTTTCTTGTTTGCTACTACAGACATTTTTAAGAAGTTTGTTTAATTAATTGATTGATGCGTATACGCCAATCATTTATGTATGTTTTTTTTTTGTTGACGTGATTTTTTTTTGGGAGGGGGACAGACGCGAATTGATTTTTTTTTTTGGAAAAACAATTTATTTTTTGACAGAGTCCAAGGTGACAAAATGTGAGTGTTGTTGTTTGGGTCTCCTAAAGAAGAAGTGTTAATAACTAACCAGAGGTACTATTTTTTATTTGTATTGATATATATGTCTTTTAGTTTATAAATATTTTAATTGGAATCAAAACGCAGAGCAGATCTTGTTGGGTAATTATAAGATGGTGAACAAACAATTGGTATTTTGCTTTGCGTAATTGTTAATAATATTATTATTATTATAATTACAAGTCAAGGCAGCATGACTGAAGAGACATTTTGAGTATGCAACATTTGATTATCGGGAATTTTACAGGCGTTGAAGCACGCACGCTACCTTGAACACATTACAGTCATTCTCACACATTCCTCATGTACATAAGGCTAATCTGCCAAGTTTCGCTCAACGATACATTGTTGCAGCCAAATTCCAGGGGAGGGGCGCATGGCCCTGGAGTTTACCAAGGCTGCATCAATTGTCAAGGACACTTGATAATCTTCCTAGACCAGAGATGGCCGCCATTCCAACCAGAAAGTTGCCTGCAACGATCCTACCCCTAGGGCAAGGATGGCTCTGTGACCAAGCTGTTGCAACTCTGCTGATGAATTGTAGTGCCATGTAAATATCCAGATCCATCAAAGCAACAAGAATCTGCAACTCATTCAAGCACAGGAGGTTACAACTCAGAACAGGGTTAGTGGCCCTGAAATCGCATGTGGGCTCTGATGTTAAGAGGGAAGTTGTAAAATAGTGTTTGTTTTGTATAATCATTTTCCTAAACGCTCTGTTTCTCTAATATTAACTAACAAATTTATAATTTTGGGTAGGGGACTGGACTGGGTTTTTGTCCAATCAATCCCCTGTCCTGTAGGTTAAAATTATTGCATGATTATATACATCTTTGTCAGCAATATGGCCAACAAGAAAAAGAAAAAAGTTATAAAATGGTTTGGATTTTGTTTGGTATGTTATATAAATTAATTATTTTCTGCTTCTCTTTAATTTTTATCTGACCAACCGAATTTGTTATTTTAGTAAATGGGGGTAGGGTTGTTGGTGAGTAGGCATGCCACTGACAAGACAGGGGATGCCTTTGAGATATACCAGCCAAACTCATAGAAAGGGATCTTTTGTCCAGACTTTGGGTCACATGGATGGTAAGCGCAGAAAATGTACACTATCAATGTATATTTTTTTCAACAAAGTAACATTTAAATAATTAATTGTTAAATATTAATACTTTTCTTTTCATAAAAATTACAGCAACCCAGGGCTCAAAACTCTGAATTCAAAGCAGCAATCCAGGTTGCAACCTCCTGAGTTGCAGAATTTTCAAGCCAGTCTTAACACCAACTTTTATGCTAGCATGGCAATAACACACAGCAATTATCACACAAACACCAGCTATCAGTGGTCAATGCCATATGATAACAGCCAAGCCTGGTCTGAGGGGAGATAAGTAAATGTTTTGTCCAAAGCCTTCCAACACTTTTTCACCTTACCTGTGGAAAAAATTCCATGGTTATGAGGCGTGTGAAAGCACCTGTTGACTTGTTTGTGACAGGAAATTTCAATTAAGTCTGACACCTGTGATTAACATCAGATTTATTATTCCTAAGGAACCATAACTGATAATCAGGAAAATGATTTATTATTCTGAATCCCAGAGATCTGGGTAGACATGCATTATTAAAAGTTTCATTTGTGCATGGCCTTGGTATCATTACTACCTGGGTGATGCAATTGTTTGTTATATCAAATATGACATCTAACATATTGCATAATAATCATGACATCATGAATATTCAATGGATGAAGGCATTCACATACAAGGAAATGATTAAATAACTTAGTCATGTTTATTTTGTTAAAGATGTATGATTTAATTGTATTTAAAATATACAATAAAAAAATTGCAAGACTGCACCACTAAATCAATCAAGCTATCAAGCTGTTATGTTTGTACATGATTTAAAATTCTTTTGTGCTCCCATATTTCTTTGCTTATATATAATCTATTGGTTCTCTTTTTACTGGTCAAATGATGCCAAATTGGGTAATGGGGTATTCAGCAAATATCAGAATCTGATTATTCTTTAAAAAAAAATAATTAAGGTATTAGCATACTGATAAGTTAATAATATTCTTTGTATTTATCATATAGTCTAAAAGCCTATTAGTAAATATTGAATGAAATTATCAGATACAGTATTCTTTTGATATTAATCTTATTTTTTAGTTAATTATTGGCTTAATTTAATAAACCAATAACTCTTTTATATTGTAATTAAGTTATTGGTTAAATATTTCTAAAGCTCTTTGTACTAAAATAATATTATAACTTGACAGTAGTTAGGTTTCTATTCAAATAAGGTTTGCTTGAATAAAACAAACAATTTGAGTAAAAATAATTTGAATAAAATGAATAATAATAATTTGAATAAAAGCAAATAAAACGAATAAAAAAACGAATAAAAGTGAATAAAACGAATAAAACGAATAAAAGTGAATAAAAGTGAATAAAACGAATAAAAGCGAATAAAAGAGAATAAAAGAGAATAAAACAAATAAAATGAATAAAATGAATAAAATGAATAAAAGCGAATAAAACAAATAAAAAAACGAATAAAACGTACAGTCAAAACTCGTTAAGACAAAATGCTTTGATAAACCGAATATGCACAATAAACTGATGTTGTTTTATTATCTACCTATCAAATTTACCCCAATAAGCCGATTTTATTAAGGTTTTTAAATTAAAGTTTTTTTTTTATTGAAAATATTAACTTTGGTTTAACGAGTTCAGACTGTATTATGAATAGAAACCATGCATTAATACTAAAATTAAAAAAACAACAATAAATAAAACAAACAAATAGCTTTTATTACGAAATAATTAATTTTGTTCCTTTGGTGTTAATGATTGAATTTGATCACACAAGCAGTAGTCAATTTAAACAGCATTGTTTTTAAAGAATTGGTTCAAAATATTTATTTTAAATGTATAAAGTTTAATGATTTTTTAATGTTGCAAAATTTTTTTTGATACATCAATCTCGGTCCATATTTATATACTTTAAAGTTTCTTTATTCCTTTTTTTGATAAATAATAAATTTATCCATTTGTTTATTTGTTTTAGTAGATTCAAATAGATTTTATTAGATCAAATGATACATTCAGCAAAAATCTCAGAAGACTACATTGTGCATTAATTCTAAGATAAAAAAACCTGTTTTAATGTTTAGTATAATCAACAATTTTCTTCAATTGTTTTTTTAGAAATAAAAATATTATTTTTTTATTTGTTTATCTGTTTTAGTTGATCAATAAATCTCAGGTCTCAAGATAATTTATCTTATCCATTTTTAGTAATTATAAATAATTTAAATCTAACATAATTATTTTTCATGGAACCAGTTGAAATTTAATTGGATCAATATCAAATCTATATAACATTCGTTAACTCTTGAACAACTGAATATGGTGCAACTTGAGCATATCAATGTAGATGACTAGAACAATCATATTGTAATTGAATTCACACAATCATATCTCATTGCTTTATGGCTACATTAATTGGATTGTTAAATTGTTAGGAAGTTTACTGGAAAGATTTAAAGCTGATATTAATATAAATGTTACGAAAGGATCCCATTAGTCAGAACAAGCTGGTAATGTATACGTACATATATATTGAGCAAGAATAATCAATTAAATTGATTGAATTGATTAAATTGATTTTATGTTAATAATAATTTAATTAATGAGTTGCTACATATTTATTAAAAGTTACAATGCTTTACAACAATAAACTATGACAAGTATTATTATGACTATTTAATAATAGTTTTTTAGTTATTTTGTATGATTTCAACAATATAATTAATTGGTATTATATGTGTGTATGTTAATTAGTATGCATTAGTGAATGCTTTTGATTTTTAAATACTGTTAATACAATAAAAGGAACGAAAAAAAGAAAAAAAAACTCTATTTTCTAATCTACAAGACTCCGAAAAAACTTTTTTGTGAAAATCTATCTGAATTGTTCGTATTAAATATATATATATATTTAAAATTAAATAAATAAGCGAAAATTATTATTAATATACAAAATATACATTAAGATTCATAAGGTGGATTTATTAAACGTGCACTATTGACAAAAAAAAATTTTTTTTAAAAGTTTAATATTATCATATATATTATTTCCAACTATAAGTTAAACAAATAAATACCTTGCAGATTTAATAGTGTCGATAGATGATAAAGATGATAAAAAGGCTATTGTATCTTTCTGAGGAGTTTTCTTTTCTTTTTTCCCATTAACACTATTCCACGAATAATTAATCGATTCTAAATCAGATACTACAGAATTCTCATGTTCAGATGCATCATTTGAAACTAGTTGCTGTACAACTATGTAATAGTATTATTATATTTAATAATTAAATTAATCATTCAAAATCGTCACTAAATGATAATAATAAAAATAATAATAATAATAATAATAATAATAATAATAATAATAATAGTAATTACCTAGTGCATCTCTTAAATTTTCTACTTTGATAGTTGGTTTAGGTAAATCACCAGAACTATCTTCATGATGAGTAAAAATGGGTGGAGTGATTGCAAAATGAGGTTTTTCATTACCAAGAATTCTTGATGATCTAATCTTTGAAACTTCACATTTCAATCTTTCAAATCCTTCTTCGGGGTTCCATTCCGCCATCAAATTTTCCTCTAATTGTTTGCCGCCTATATCTGTTAATTCTTTATGTTTACAAAGTAAAGGTACTATAATTTGATGATCAAGCCAAATGTCAACTGGTTGCAATAGTTGATTTGGCTTGTTGGATATTTCCTCATCTTCAAAAACTGTAAAAGTTGATGATGTTGTTGTTGATGATGTTGATGATGGTGATGAAATATTTTCAATATAAGTTGACCATTGATTTTTATTTAATCTTTCTTCTTCAATCTACATAAATTTTTTTGTGTGGGAGAAAAAGAGATTACTTTTTGATTGTTGGAGTCATATACTATAATAGAAATTTTCTTACTTTTTTGATATAATCTTGTAATTCTGAAATTTTTAAACCAGTTGCAATATCATAAAAGTATAATACAATAATACTAGCCAATGCTCGTTGACGGGTATAATTTTCAAGCTTTTCTTCTTTAGCTTCAAGCTATATATATATATATATATATATATATATATATTTGTAAATTATAAATTATAAATTATAATAAATTTAAGATTTTAATACAAATAAGCATATAATAATTATTATTATTCAACATACCTGTAATTTGAAGACAACTGGTACACCACAAATGACTTGGTCAACATGAAAACGATTAAATAGAGCACGAAGAATAGTGGATAAAGTTATATAATCTTGCGGAGTAGATTTTTGTGATAGTAAAAATTGGTATAATGACAAATGCAATGAATTTAAAAAATGTATTGATGGTTGTTTGAAATATGTGGTAATCTATTAATTATAATAACAGTTACAATTATAAAATGAAAGAAAAAAGGTCAATATTAAAAGTCTTTTAGTAAATAAAAAAATTGATTGATTGATTATAATTAATTACATTTGATGTATCTGTTTCCTTCGGTTCTAGTGGTAAATCAGAACTTTCTAAAAGTGTCAATAATACTTGTGCATATGCTATTCTCACTTCTGCAAAAAAAAATTCAAAAAAAAATGATAAGATGTTAGTTAATCTTTGTAAATACAAATCAATTGATTAACCACACACAAAACAATAAATAAATATATATAAAATTAATAGTGTACCATGGTCATCATCAGAGCAAAGCCCAGTAGTCTTTTGAAACGTTTCAATTTGAATTTCATTTCTTGGATATTCAGGGTAAAGTTTTTTAGATTCGTTATTCTTTTTAAGAACAGTATCCAGACATTTCAATAAAGTTTTTCTTGAGTCACTAATAGAAATTCCTTTAATAATAAAAATAAGAACATTGGTAAATGTGATGCCAGTGTTATTATCAGTTATATTATTAACTGATATGAGTATTATTATTATTACCATTACTGTTTTTGCTGTTGCTGTTGTTGTTGTTTTTTTCTTGAGTATCCGATTCAGGTTGTAACTGTAAATGTTGAATAATATGTTCCATTATATCATTGACTTGATTGGCATAATATATATGTATTGCAAGCGCACCTAAAATCAAATTATATTTATTAATAAATTTCTATGCTCAATTAATAATAATTGTAATATTAAAATGTACCTATGCAAGTGAAAAGTCGTTGAGCATTCATTTCTTCCAATTCAGCAGATTTTTTAATCAAAGAAGTTTCAGCCACAGATGCTTTCTCATCACTATTTAAATTTGCGACTTCCAAATTTTGATCCCTTAATTTTACAGAATTTAACAAATGACGCAACAAACAACCCAAAACTTCTATAATCGAATAGTTGACCAGGTTAACTTTATTGGTAAGAATGGAGGTTAACATCTCGATCAATGTGAATTTTTTGGGTAAAGATTCTGCCACATTAATCAATGAATTTAGTTCCTGTATTATTTTGGTAACAAGTGTATGACGAAATACTGGCTATTTTTTAAAAAAAGGATAAACTTATTAGATTAATGAATCTTTGCGAGAAAAATATGCATATATCTTATATCTATATATGTAGATTACCTGCAAGGAAGAAATGACAACAAAAGCTAAACTAATACCAAAAGATGATGGCAACCAAAGATTGTTATCGTCTAAAAAGGCAAAAGTTGGATTAAGAGACATATTAATATTTGAAGTGTTGGCATATTTAAATACTTGTTTGTAACAATTATAAGCTAGTCGCGCATTTTGCTCAGCTGAAATTGTTGTAGAATTTATGGAGAATTGATTTGGTTTTGAATGACCATCACTATTATTGTTATTTTCTTCCATTTCGCTATAAATAGTAATTGGTGATAATAATAATATAGACGAATATTAAAAATTTATATATTTATAATTATTATTAAGACAGCAATAAAATAAAAATTCTATTGGAGTCTTTTCTCTTTTACTTACATTTTTTGTAAATGTTCTAAACCAATCTCATCATCAGTCAAATTTTTTAAAAGAGCAGGAATAATTTGTTGAAATTGATGTTTAGATTTTGCCTTATATAATGCATCAGAAGTGACCGCAGCTTGAAGTGCATGAAGCCCTATAAAATTATATCTATTTATGTTTACATTTAAATTAATAAAGCATTCAAACATTAATAGAATATCATCATCATCGTCATCATGTTTACCTTTTCTCTAAATCAACATCAGATTCAATTTCATAAGTTGCGTAGTTTGCAAAATCAGAAATTAAACTTTCATAAATTGTTGTAAATTCACTATCTACTCCGTGTTTACCTTTTCTCTAAATCAACATCAGATTCAATTTCATAAGTTGCGTAGTTTGCAAAATCAGAAATTAAACTTTCATAAATTGTTGTAAATTCACTATCTACTCCGAGATTTGTTCCATCATGATACAAGCAAAAATCAATAAACTAATAATATTATTTAAAAATGTACTGTATGTATGTATGAATAATATAAAATATCCTTAATATTTATCTAATATATATATACAAGTATTAATATTTTACCACTGAACATGCTCGTGCAACTAGCTCGATGTCTTTTGTACTTAAAGAGTCAGCAATAATTTTAACCACGTTCTTTGAAAATAGATTTAAATCTTTTTTACAAGCACCCAATAATTTTGAAATAATTTGTAAGGAAACATCTATATCTCTGATTTCCCGAGAAAATGAATATTATTAATAATATTATAGGTACATGAATAATAATAAGTTATACACATACTGCTTTTTACGTTTTTTAACATCGCTAGCAACTCTTTTTTCTAGATGGATGCCACATTTTGTAAGCTTGGCAGGTTTTGAATTTGCATAAAATACAAGATACGAAAGTTCGTTCGACTTTGGATTTAACTCGTCCGGAGCAGTTGGATAACAATTGTTTATAAGGGTGGCATGTTTAGACCAACTGTGATAAGCCATATTTTTTGTTATATATATTATTAAATTAACTTAAAATAAAAGGATGGGGTGTTACACATTGTTGTAAAAAAACCTTGTCAATCTTGACCTTTTATTACTTTTGATTTTGAGCCTTGAGTATATTAATATTGTATATTAATATATATACAATATTAATAAACCCCAAAATTATAGGTAATTATCCGATCCCACCTCTCAACTGATTAGTGATCTCAGATACTTTTCAAGTTTTGTCTCAAAATGACATTGTTAATTGTTAATTACCAGGAAATCATATATTAATATTGGCCCAGGCATCCATTTTCAACTATTTCCGAAATGTTCAATCTTCATTTGATAGATGGTTCCAACAACCTAACTTTTATCACTTTAATCTTATTGAACTAGAGTGGACTATCTATTATACTCGAATTCTTAATTTCCTTTAAGATTAACAATAAATAAATATACAATATACAAAAATCCAATAAATTACAATTACTATCTATGCTTTGAATTTAATGGGAACTCAGATGTATAGTTAGTGTCAATATTCCTTAATTCTTCTGATTCTAAATATTCTGTCTAATTATGTGTGAGATTTTAAATGCATTTGTTATTATAATATTATTGATTATTTGTGTGGTCATGGATTAAGAAGCTAATAGTTTATATCAAATGGTTAAAGCAATTAATTAAAGGAATTGAAGAAATATATTTACGTAGTCACAAGTAATCATTTTCACCATTTTTTTGCATGGATGTTAATATTTGTGAATAAATCAAACTATATATATTTTTGTCCCGCTACGTAATAGTAAAATTTTTTTATTTGGATTTTCAGCCGCTAAATTTTTATTTGTTGGAAAAAAGGAAGTGCCATCGGTTTTTATTTCGTTGTGTTTACATATTCTTGGGTAAGTTTAAGAAGTATTTATGATTGTGTGGGTCACACACAGCTTGTTAAAAAAAAATCGAAAATCAGGCGCGACGGATATTTGTGGAATTTTTTTTCTTTTTAAAATAATGAATTCTGATGAATTACCAACTCATTAAATGAATTAATTTGGTAGAAATGATTTGATAGTTGGAGTTGCTAAATTATTAAAAGGATTAGTCGAAATTGTACCAGTTGTAAACACAATCTAGCAAGTAATTATTTTGACAAATTTTATGAATCAATAAATGAAATAGAAAATCTCTTGGTTAAATTACAAAAAGAAGAATAAGGAGAGAAAGACATAATAATCAGTAAATTGGATAAAGAATTAAATATAGATGGTGAATTATATGAAAAAGTATATATTACGTGAAAGGTTGTAAAGAAAAAAAATTTGAAAATTTAATTGATAAATGTGGGAATGAAGAAATTGCTAGATTCCTTTATTATATATGTAAAATGAAATCAAGTAATCATAATGGTATTCGATGGGATTCCATTTAATGGGTTTAAGGATATTGAATATTTAATTAAAAGCGGTTTTGGTGAAAATATTAGTTTATATGAAATTCTGTGTGAATTTATTAATATTTAGTTGAAAGCAATCAATGAAATTAATGAAATTAATTAAAGATCCAAATAATGGTGATTATCTGTTGATGTTTGGCTATGCTTCACGTGGAGATTTACATAAAATTTTGAAGGAATTACTTAGGAAAGGTAAAAGGTTATTGTCAAACTCATTATAATATACTATACTTTAATTATGAATGACCCGCACATTGGTAATATTTTTTCATTTGTCGGTAGTTTGAAATTGTGTCAACGATTTTCTGCGTAGGCTGCAGAAATCATGAAATGTGTGTTTAAAAACGGGAAAGTGCTACAATAAAATTTTTACACCCGGCAGGTGATGAGAACTAAAAATTTATTTGTGTAGCCTTATATAAATTATTGCAAATAATTTTTAAAAATGGAAAACACTTTAAATGAAAATAAGCATGATGAATATTCATATAAAAGAAACGAAAAATATGGGGAATGTCCAACTTGTAAGAGATATAATACTGATAATTCATGGTGCCAATCATGTGATCCAAAGCTATTAACTGAAGGATGGACTAGTGGCAATGAAACATTGGATGAGTTGATTAAAATCACACAACTTAAAGCAACTCATTATAGTAATTATTTTTATTTTCAATGGATTCCTTATAATGATTTAACAAATATTGAAAAGATAGGTAAAGGTGGATTTGCAACTATATACAAAGCCAATTGGTTAAATGGTAAAAAATATGCAGTTGGCAAAAAAAGAGTTAGTGAAGATAGAATTGTGGCATTAAAAAAATTACATAATTCACAGAATATTTCTAATGGATTTCTTAATGAGGTAAATTATTTTATTAAGTTTCAGATTTTTTTAAAAATATTATTGTTGTAATTAAATATTTTATTTGTTATCTTAGTTCAAAAACTATACAAAGCTTCATGGTATAATGTGGATAATTCGTATACATGGATTAACACAAGATCCAATTACAAAAAAATATATATTAGTAATGGAATACATAAAATACGGAAGTCTTCAAAATTATTTAACAAATTATTTTGAAGATTTAAAATGGGAACATAAAATTAGTATTCTTAAACAAATTATTACTGGGTTAAAAGATATTCACGAAGAAAAAATTATTCATCATGATCTTCATAGCGGAAACATTCTTCAAAATATTGCTATTTCATATATTACAGACTTGGGGTTATCATGCCCAACTAGTCAAACATCAGCATCAAACAAAAATGATATATTTGGAGTACTACCATATGTTGCACCAGAAGTTTTAACAGAGAAACCATACACAACAGCATCAGATATATATAGTTTTGGAGTTTTAATGTCTGAAGTATCAACTGGTCAACAACCTTTTAGTAATTTGGCACATGATGTAAACCTTGCAATTAAAGTATGTGAAGGCGTAAGACCAGGATTCTCAAACAACACACCAAAATTCTATATTGAATTAGCATCCAGATGCATGGATGCTAATCCAGATAAACGTCCAACTGCTGAAGAAATTTATAATATTATTAATTTTTGGGATGATTCTAAAGATCATAATTATAGACAATATTCAAATGAACAACAGAATGAATTAAAATCATTTTGCCATCAATTTGATCAATTAATAAAAACGTTCATTTTGGAAACTTGATTTGTAAATAGATCTTGACTTTAGCATTTATTTCGATTGAACCCGCCTGTATTTGAATGATTGATAAAATATTCATTAAATATATTTTGCAAACAACTTCACAGATCTTGCCTTTAACACTTATTTCAATCACACCTATACAAAATATTTGAATAATTGATAATAACGTTCATTTGCAAACTTCTTAGATCTTGTATTTAACAGTTTCTTCCACAAACTCGTAACCTATCGTCAACTCTACTTTTTCTATTGAATTATTTTGATTTTTTTTTTTTTTTTAGATTACGCAGGATTACACAATAAAAATTATGGAATAGAATTTGCCCAATGGAATGTTGTAAACTGTATATATCCATGCACAACTTGAAATACAAGTCTCATTTTTCCATTACTAGTACTCGTCTCGGGGTAATACATGCAATGGCGAACCCATGTGACTCACTTAAATGTGTTAATGGAATTTTTTCTAGTGGCTCATGCTGGGTGTATTGAATCTTTGTGACTTCTCTTTTGTTAATTTTTATTGTTTATTTTATTTAGAAGGAAACATTTAAAAAAAGAGATAAAAATTCATTTGTAATTTATATTATAGCAATGCAATAAGTAACAAACAACAATAAATCATAATTTTTTGAGGATCCTATTTATAGACTATTGTCTTGGCCTGAATGATGTCATTTTTTTGCTTTTTGCGACAAAGAAGATGCAAATTCAAACCCAACTTAAAATAAATTAATTTTTGTTCTCGGGTAGCAAAAACTCACATTGCGTTCTCAGTTGCAAGCTTGTTTTAATTAGTTAATCATTTTACAGACAAAAATCATTTTCTACCTCAAAAAAAATATTTGTTTTAATTTCTATTTGAACTTCTAACCGAACTGAAACATTGAAGATGACTATAAAACATTATATCCTTGCAACGGTGTAATATTAATAGCACAACTTTGTGAAGAAATCTGTTTGTTTCTGTGAAATTGAAATCTATAATTAAAATTATAGAGTAAGGTGTTATGGATATGAAATTCTGATAGGCTAATTTGAATGTAATTTTATAATAGTTTTTTTATTGAACATAAAAAAACTAAACTAGTTTGTTTAGCTTCTCTAAAATTCTGACTTGTATAAACTATATAATATGTGAACCTCCGGTTCTTGTTCTAGTTGTACAGTATAACCCTTGTTTCAACGGATTATAATTATGATTAAATTCGCGTTTCAACAAATTTTAAAAATCTTTGTTACACATTATTATTATGAAAACATAAAAATCCGTTGAAACGCGATTAGTAATTTCGTTTCAATGGATTTTAAATGAAGTTTTCTTATATCTCCAGCCACTCCGTTGAAACGAGGGTTATGCTTTATATAAGTAAAAAGGTTTTCAATGGATCATTAATATTAACATGAATAATATTTTCCCCCTTCTCTTCCTCTTTATTTAAAACAACAGCAATAATTTCTTCTAATCCAGGATTTGCTTCAATTTCGTAAGTCTTATTACAATTAATGTAGTCTTCAGTTGTTATTGATTCTTCATAATATTCATTCATTATATTTTGCAACTTTAATACTATTTTCATAATTAATATAATAAAATTTTCGAATTTAAAATTAAACAATATGATTGGTTTAGCAAAAAAGGGACCATGTCATTTAAAATCGACTTTCAAATGACCCAAATGATTTGTCATTTGTCATTTGAGCCATTTGAGATCATTTGAGGTCACTTAGTCATTTAGTCATTTGTCATCACTTGAGCCAACTGTGCTCCAAATATATCATTTTTGTTTGATACAATATTTGACTAACTGGGTATGATAGTCCTAAGTCTGCAATATATTGAATAATTTTTTCAGGATAATAAG